TTTTATATTATCCCACTTTTTTGTTTTATATTATCCCTCGCAGATATACGTTTTATAAGAACTTCTCTTACTAGCTTCATTTAAACCAGCTTAAATCTGCTCCTGGTGTCCCGTGCAAATTCTAAATTTCTAATCGTAGTGGAATTATCTAGTCTTTGTCTTGTCACGTTTTTATCGGTTTCAGAAATATGGAGTCATCTACGAAAAATATTTTGGAGCATTAAGCGACGACCGCCGGCTGTTAAAATTCAAAAGGTTTTTGATGTTTATTTGCACTTAAAATGCTCTAGGAAAAGGTCGATTTTTAACCCAATAAGAAAAGTTTTCCATGCATATCCACACTTTTTAAGATTCCCTTTAACTTTATTTTTATTGGGGGCGCTTTTCAATTTAATACAAATTGCAGGCGTCGAAATACAATCAATTTCTATGATTTTCGAACGTTCGGACCGGCAGTTTTTCCTTTTGAGATGTTTCCTGTATTGAATGTTTTAATGTAAACAGTAAAGTTTTATAAATAATAGTTGAAATTGTTTGGTGAATTAATGCATAAAATAAGCACTGCTGGTCCTTACAGAAACTCTAACCTGCCAATAACATAACCCAGGCGGCTTCTGCTCCCACCTACCCCCTCTGGGTATCGGAAGGCCGTCTAATCCCGACTACTTAGGGCCCGTCACCCTGCGCACATTCCGAGTTTCTCTCTCTCTGTCTCTCTGTCTCTCCCTCTCTCTCTCTCTCTCTCTCTCTCCTCTCTCTCTCCCTTTCTATGGCCCTATTTGCCCACAGGATCCCCTCGGAAACACCGGGGCCTTTCATCGTGAAAGGGCCCTCCCCCTCCCCCTTCCCTTCGGCTTGACCCCTCTTTTGCCCTTGGGCACAAACATAGCCACATAGCCCGAAGGTGAAGGAGATTTCCATTAGCTGGACTTTGCAGTCGGGTTATTATGGCATTTTGGGTAATAATCGCTTCAGCGGGTTTGGGAGATTTTCTTCAAAATTTTGTAAAAGCTTCTCGGTCTCCATTCACCGCTGCATGTCTCTGACTCACCGCTGTCTTTCTTTCGATCCCTCTCGCACGCTCACTCACTATCTCTCGCTCGCTCTCTCTCTTTCTCGCTCTCTCACTTACTCTCTCGCTCACAGATAGCGTTTTAAAGGCACGCGCACGGCTTGACCACGGGTGTTGCTGTATATGGATTTCCTAAATACTAGAAATTTGCGACACTTGACGCGCCCCCGCGCTTGTCATCCATAAAGAGACCGCATGGGCGGTTAAATAGCGGTCGGCGTTTGCGTTGCGTATCGCGGGCCTTCGTAGGCAAAAGTCCATATTCGAGCTTACACGTCACCTTATTCATTAACTTTTTTTGCTGAAGTTACCGTTCGAGGCAGGCTAGCAAAGGCTATTAAGGAATTTCGGCTGATTTACGGCATCGAAGCCCCGCCAATTTTTCGCCTGTGTATCGCCTCTAAGAATTGCTAACAGGCTTATCTGTACGTTCAGGCAATGTCCAGGGAAGCATCCACTAAACTTTTTAGACGCTTCGTTAACTTTCGAAATTGTCCCTTACATTGGGCAAGTCAGGGCAGGTTCTTAGGGAATTCGCAGCAACTTTTCTGAACTTGAGAATGAGTTAGATGATGAATCAATCGTGGGTCGGATCATGAGACAGTCGGCAATCAAATTCCAATTCTAGACGTTACGTGCCGTTGCGTGTACTTTCCGGGAATTGTGCACTTTTTAGCGCGCCACTTTCCAGGGGGGTAGGGGTCAGCGCGGGGGCCCATTCCCATGGAGGAGAAGGCGAAAAAGGGGAAGGAGGAGGGCAGTTTGCACATTGGCATTCCCCTTTTCACTTCTTTTCACCCAGCGCGGGTCGGGTGTCCATTATTTTCGTTACGGTACTCACTGGAGAACCGTCTCGCGGCCTAGCGCCGTCTAGTCTCATTTTACACGGGCCTAAAACCAATTCAAAAACAGTATATTTGGTTTTTGTTGATTTTTTATCCAAATTTTCAATTTTAGCAGTTTTCCAAGACAACCATGATGCTTTTATAAATTTTTCGATTTTAGCGATTTTAAAGCGTTAACGTTAACGTTCTAGCCGAAATCAGTTTAATTAAGAGAATTGAAAAATTTGTACCATTTCACTTGATTTTCACATTCGCGGTTTAACTACCGCTTCAAGACGAACGCGGTTCTATATAAAATTGTAGCATATTAAAATCAACTTTAAAGATTTTAAAATTAGACTGTAAATCCAGGACCTCCAAATGCCCCCGATTCCAAGATCTAAACACGATAAAAGTTGCAAAAAGTGTTACGGTCCGTTTGAGCCGGTGTGCCCGTGCCGCTGCCCGGAATTTGTTCCCCTCGCGAGTTTTTGCGCGTGGGCAGGCATTTCCGCTCGAGCGCCCGAACCAAGGTTATTGGGGGTGCTCCGATTCGAAACGCTTGCCGTGGATCTGGGTTACAAAATTAACATTCCGGCCGGCTCAAAAATGGGCCGGAAACGAACCTCAAAAGTTAAAAAATTAAGTTACAATTTGTTGTCAATTTTCGATGGCAGAATAATTGATTTTATCTAAAAAAAAAAGTAAAATAAAACTTAGGACACTAAAAAAGAAAGAATTAGGATGCTGTATAAAAAAAAATTTAATGCATAACATTTTGAAGGTCTATTCAAGTCCAAATCCACTGAGAAGGCAAAGGACCCGAAAGAACTCGATATATTGCCACTCCTGGGAAAATTGTTGTCCACAAGTGCTACTTGGCCGGGCAGTCCCCCTTCCCCAGTGAGGGTAAACTTCCTATTTACCCCTTTCCCTCCCAGTTTCCCAACAATACTCTTTACTTCCCTTTTTTGCAACTTTTTACGGGGCCCAAATAGCTTGCACTCAAGTCAGATCTCGCTAAAAAGTCGTGAAACTATCGAGTCGGCAACGCTACTATTTGCTTACCTTAAGCTGTTCTAAAAACGCTGAAAAATCTAAATATATGCGTTTAAATTGACAAAATGTTGACTTCAATTTAAATTAAATTAAAAGTAAAAACTAAATGAGCTGCCCGTTTTTTGCCATAACCATTTTGAATTTAAAACCCTAGAATCGGCGTCTCGAGCCTTATCTTTTGGCCAATTTTTAGCCTGCTTTTTAGGTGTCTTTTCCATTTTTGTTTATTCATCTCGGTCCTGATCCATCTAAAGCTAAAATTCATCTAAAGCTTTACCATTTTTTCCCTTTTTCGCAAGTTTGTGCGACTAAGCTCGAACTCTCAGCTTCGATAAAAACCTTTAACACCAGCGGATGAGCAGAGTTTTCAAATCTATCTTATAACGGATTTTTCGGCGCATTGAATATTTTTTTGTGTGTTTTTAGGACCATTCTAATTACGAATTTTTTTTCTGGCATTTGGCCCATTTTCTGCTATTATTAATCTCAACAAACATTCATTTCAAAGCGGACTCCCGGGACCCACGTGGATCTTAAATTTCACCCTCACCCCGACTCTTTTTTGCCGACCTCTTGGCCATCTGCCCTCAAAGGCCCGGGGATGAGGAGGAAATCCTGTAAAAATGAGAAAGCGGAGGAGGAGGAGGGGATGAGTCGGAGCTCCATTTCTTTTGCGATCCTTGACAGCTGTGCACCCATTTTTTACCCAACAAGAATATAAGCAAGGAAATGAAAGAGTTGAGTTATTGTTTGTCGTTCAGGTTCAGATCCAAATTGTTTAAAAAATCTTCTATTAATGGGTTTAAAAGGTCTAAGTTTAAAAGGCCTCCTGAAAATATCAAAATTTCTCATTTTTTCAAAACTTACTTGATTTTCTATTCTTCATAATTATTATTGGGGTTATAATATGTAATACGAACGGATATATGATTTGTTATTTTAGCTAACTTTCTTTATTGGAATTCTAACATTTTTAAAATAGGATTTTTCGACCTAACGGCTTCTTGAGATTAATGGTAGCTTGTTCTGCATCTCTAAGATAACGAATTACTCCTGCTCTGTTTTTCCCATATTACCACCGAACCGAGGCGCGTTTCGGGTTCGGAAATGGGTGGGTGTGCGTGGAACCTCGAGAGGTTGGCCGTAAAAGCGCAATATTCCGAGGTCCGCAGGCCCATGGGAGTCCCATTTTTGCACTGCCATGCTTCGTTCGCTATGTAAAGGGGACCCCGTTTCGGGAAAGTTGGGTACGACACAGGAGCAATGGATTTTACCTCCCAGAAACCGTTGTACAATCCTAATTTTAATTTTTAACGATGGCTTTAACTTTGACTTGATTGCGAACTTTAATGTCAGCTGGTTTTTCTATACCGGTCTTAACGGAATTATCTTTGCCGTGGCCCCCTTTAATGTATCCGCTGATACACCCACTACTATTTCCCTCCGATTGCATCATTTTTCATTGGCACCTGAAAGTATTTGGGGCAGAGCAAAGAGCCGAAAAAAGGCGCGCAGCACGAGACTGACGTTTCGGGCAAGGGGCCCATTGCTTCGGAGGGCCCCCACGTGGTCCACTCTGCCCCCAAAAAAGCTTTGTTTCGTTGTGGTTTCGCTCGGTCTTACCTGGGATTAAAAGCTCACGCAGCGAAACGCCATGTTTTTATGGGTCTGGCTGGGGATTCGGAAATTGATGCGTTTGAGGAAAATATATGCAAGTTTCAGCTAGGGGCGAAATCCAGGAAATTCTACGCCAGACGAATCTGCCAATTATCTATACGAATTTCTTACCTTTCTCCTTGATGTTCTGCGTTTTCATAATGTAATTTGACCCATTTCTGCCAAAAATTAATATTATATTTTTTAGTGATTAAATTTTTTTAAACTTTCTATTTATAAGTTTAGCGTTTGAACTTGCTTTGTTTAAAATGTTATTTTCGCTTTCCAGCGTTCTTTTCGCTTGATTTTCGATATATTTACTTGGAACTCGTTCGAACCTTGCTAGTAACATCTCGGAAAAAAATTCACTTCATCACGAATTTATAGGCATGGCCTCCGCAGACGATGCCCTGCTCAAGACGGGGGATAAAAAGGCTGGAAAGGAGGGGGAGGAGACGACGAACGGCGGAGGAAAAGTCAGTCAAAAACCATTAAAAAGGAGTATCAGAATTGGTTAAAGGTCATCTCAAGCTACGTTACAATCCAATTTTTAGGGCCTCGCCGCAACACTCGGCTTATGGAATGGCGTGTCGATGATTGTGGGATGCATTATTGGCTCGGGGATTTTTGTCAGTCCGACAGGAGTACAGGAAAGTAAGTGCGACCTTAAGACCTTTTTTTTAGGAAGTGATATATTAATGTAGCATTTTTATTACTTGTTTTTTTACAGAAGCCGGCTCCGTTGGGATGTCACTAATTGTGTGGGTAGCCTCTGGTTTTTTCGCAGCGATAGGAGCTTACTGCTACGCCGAGCTGGGCACGTTGATTAGGTACGAAATTGGAAAATGAGTTAATGCTAAATTTTAAAATATTTTGATGTTTTATGAAGCTAAACTTTTTATACAGCTTTTTCAAAATTTTTGAAATCATCATTTTTAGAAAATCCGGCGGAGACTACGCGTACATGATGGAGGCGTTCGGTCCATTCTGGGCCTTCTTGAGGCTGTGGATCGAGGCAATCGTCGTGAGACCGTGTACAGCAACAATTGTTGCCATCACATTCGCCATCTACATGTTGAGGCCGTTCTTTCCAAGCTGTCCACCTCCAGACGGGACTGTTCAGTTACTGGCTGCTTTGTTACTATGTAAGTAAGACGCCTGACGTTTTGATTGATATTTTTCATTCTGGTTTGTCATCTACACTTAATCCGACTTTTTCGACAAGTTCAGAACGGTTCAACCCGTATTACGCAGAAATTCCGTTTCAGTACTCCTGACGGCTGTTAACGCCTACAGTGTCCGAGCGGCCCAATTCGTCATGGACTTCTTCACGACTGCCAAAATCTTTGCGCTTTGCTGCATCATTGGGACCGGAGCATTTTTGCTGTGCACTGGTAAGTAATAGAAACTCGATACAGCCCACCTAAAAACTTTCCGTTTTCCGTAGTAAATGTTGTCCTAAACTATCCAAAGTACGTAATAGTGAGTGGAATTTACGATTTTTCAGGAAATCCCAAGTACTACGACTCTTTCGAGAACATCTTCGAGGGCTCGGCTCAAGATGTGCAGTCCGTGTCCCTGGCCTTTTATTCCGGTAAGTAGTACGCTTGACAACAAACTACACCGTTCCGATTTTTACTTATTTACGCCCATAAATTCCATATTTTCAGGTCTATTCGCCTACCAGGGCTGGAACTACCTGAACTTCATCGTCGAGGAGCTGCAGAACCCTAAAAGGTATCCAGAATCTTGTCGGATTCACCTTAAAAATCCAGGAACTTGCCACTTGCCATCATCATCTCATGCTCCCTCTGCACGGTCATCTACACTTTGACGAACATTGCTCTCTACACCGTAGTATCTCCAGATGAGATGCTGGCATCTCCCGCGGTGGCTATTGTAAGTATTTTCGAGTAGCCTCGTTTTTAAACGGTAATTACGCCATGAAAATACGATTTAGTTGGTTTTATCATTCAAAATTTCAATACGGTTTATTTTAGTAAGAATTACCGTACTTTACTACCCGTAAAAATTCATATTTACGATTTTTAGCTTTTTGCCGAGAAGATGTACGGCGCCTTCGCATTTGTCATGCCGATTTTTGTCGCATTTTCCACGATTGGATCGGCCAATGGTGTCATTTTCACGTCATCGAGGTTAGTATAATGACGTTCCGAAGTAATTCGAATTTCGATTGGGAAATGATAAGGAATTAATAATTACTTTAGATTATTCTACGTCGGTGCTCGCGAGGGTCAGATGCCTCGCCTTTTGACGATGATCAACAAGCAGACGAGGACACCGTTGCCAGCCGTATTGTTTACGGTAGGTTATCCAAGTTTTTTGGGCTTAAAAAATCTAAACTAAATTTGCTCTAATTTACGGGCGATTGTGATCCAAATTGTTTATAATAGTTACGTTATGAACTAACAGTTACGCTAGGCATTCTGGTCCAAATTTATTCTCGAAAATCGGCTTTTTAAACTACCCCTCAATACGCTTATCTATATTTTAGGGCTTCCTCTCTCTGCTCTACCTAATCCTGTCCGACAACGTCTTCAAGCTGATCAACTACACTCAAATCGTCTACTGGATAGCCATCGCGGCGGCCATGGTCGCGTTGTTGTGGTTCAGGAAGACGATGCCGGATGCGCCGAGGCCAATCAGGGTACGGTCGACTGAGCATTTTTCATAGTTTCTTTCACGTTTAGGTGCCGACAATCTTCCCCATCATTTTCCTACTCGGCTGCATAGCCTTGGTCATTTTGCCAATTATGGCCGACCCGAAGGAAGCTGGTAAGTTTTAACACAGTTCGGGAGGGATAGAGAGAGAGAGAGAGAGAGAGAGAGAGAGAGAGAGAGCAATAGAGAGTGGAAGTGAAAGAGATAGAGAGGTCTATTCTGAAGCTGAACTTTGAAGAATTCAGCCTGAAAACCGATTCTTTAGCCGTCGGCTTGCTACTCATCCTTTCCGGAATTCCCGTCTATGCGATCTTCATCGGGTGGAAGAATAAGCCAAAGTGTTTCGACACGTCAATGGGTAGATTTTTTACCTCCCTACAATTACCGGAAATTCAGATGCAATATACTGATTTCCTTTTCAGACAAACTCACCATCTTCTGCCAGAAGCTGTTCATGGTTGTCGACGACGAGAAGGAGGAATGAACACGGACCAACTTTGAGAGTAATAATCTACCGTAGACGCGTGTATTTCATATGTTTTTATGTTGTTTCCCCAAAATGTGGAGGATCTCACTTGATAAAGTATTCTATGCAGGCTGAAGGAAAATACGATATTAACGATACCTACTCAAAGAAATACTCAACCGAAAGACAGTGAAAGAGAGAGAGAGAGAGAGGGAGAGAGAGAGAGGGGGGAGAGAGGGAGAGAGGGAGAGAGGGTACGAGCGAGTGAGAGAGAGGAGAGGGGGAAGAGAGATAGAGCGAGTTAGATAGCGTGTGGCAATGATAGTCAGAGTGAGACAGAGTGAGGTAGTGTGAGAGAGACGGAGAGCTGGAGAGGGAGAGATTGATAGAGAGTGATGGAGAGAGCGTCAAAGCGAGAAAGAGAGACAGACAACGCCAGTTCCACGATGTTGATATCAAGCTTCCGGTAGATGAACATCATACCTGAACGGCTTGTTTGTGCGCGTGTTTGTATTTAGTGGAAGGGAAGAAGAAGGGGGAAAGTGTGAGGAGACGTGATCCCCCAGGACGCCGCCCCTGAAGGCCCGCAGAAAGCCCAGAAATGGGAGGGTAGGGGGGGACCTGTCAACCGTACACTCCCTTGCCCGTCAACTTCAGTAATCCGTCTATTTTCTCCCGATTCGGAGGCGCTTTTCCTTGCTGTATCACTTACGGATTTTAACGAATGGATTTCGGGGTTAGCGGGCGGAGCCCGCTAACCCCTTTTGGTTTGAGGTACCCCCCCATACGACTCTTTTGGGGTCCTTTTCCGGATTTAAAAAAGAACCAAGCATGGGATCGCAAAACTGAATGCACCATCGGAACCGGCGACACTTTTTACATACTATAAGCTTTTAAAAATTGAAAAAGAGTGAAATTTCGAATTTTAACAGCCGATTTAAATTGCGTTTCGAGGGGGGTCTGCGTTTGTATGTGTGTATGTACGCAAAACCTTTGTAGTCGTCAAAAAGTGTCTTCCCATCATCCGTTTGGGCTGAAATTTTTTACAGTTATTGGGTTAATGATAATCTCGGACCGCAAGAAGAGTTTTTTTCAAAATAGGCTTTTAAAAAAAAGAGGGGAAAAAAAGAGGGGGGGGTTTATATTTAATTTTTAAGTTTAGAAGCTAAATTGCGGTCAAAACAATGGTTAGTGATGTCCGTTTCGGCTGAAATTTTGCTCAAATATACATTAGACCATGCTGGAATAAGTAAAGAAGAAATTGCAACGAAAGCATGCTTCTTCTCGGAGATATTATAACTTTAAACCTTCGCCATACGGGGCGCCACCCTCCCCTTTGGCGGCCCCAGTCCCGGGTCAGGGCGGGCGGGTCTAGCTTCCCCAAGCCAGGCCTCCAGTCTTCCCGTTGGCCTAGTGGTTAGCACGCTGTACTGGGAAGACTTGGCTCCCGATTTCGAACCCCACCCAAAACATGGTTTTTGCCGATTGGCCCCCGTGCATCCTTATGGTTTCTAGTGCCGTCACAAAGCGCCGCAGGCAAATTTTTTTGAAGTTGTGCGTACAAGGGTTCATCTGAATAAGTTTTCCTTGGCTTATTTTACGATCTTAACAATAAGATTGAGGCAAAAAGGGCTAAATTCTCTCTAAGGCTAAAAAGAGTCTTTTTAAAAAAGGGCTTTTGGTTTTCGCAAAAAGAGAGGAATTCTCGTGGCAACAAAAAGAGCTAAATTCCTTTCAAACTCTTAAAAATGCCACAGAATGTGGGATCAACCAAAAGTTGCTGGCACCTTATTAAAATGGACAGATCTAGTTTTTAGCCGTTTCCGCTTACAAATAATTTCTGTTATGATCTATTTGCACTTTCTTGAAATTAATCTGTGGACCTGACCTGTGATCTAGGATGGTACCGAGTTTATTAAGGTTTTAAATAGCCAGCAACTTTTTGTTGTTCCCGCATTCTGTGGCATTTTTAAGAGTTTGAAAGGAATTTAGCTCTTTTTGTTGCCACGAGAATTCCTCTCTTTTTGCGAAAACCAAAAGCCCTTTTTTAAAAAGACTCTTTTTAGCCTTAGAGTTTTACTGTTGGCTCATATCCAATTTTTTCGAATTTTGGTAGTCGTATTGCGCTATACTATCCTTTTCAGTTAATAAGATGCGGTGGAACCTAATACCAGACGTAATATTCTTCTGTCTACTCACCGCTACCGTAATTGAAGCCAGCTGCCCGGACCATGTATTCCTTGGATGTGTCTTACGACTAAAGGCCCAACGCGTGCCTTTTGAGCGGAACATGGTCAACGTCATCTTCAATATTGGCAATGAGGCCAAGCTGTTGCATACTTGCAAGTAAGTTTTGGTCAATGGAACGTTTTTCTGTATTACAAATACGTGATGTCGGTTCTGACGGTACCAATCCAGATCGAATTCCAGTTACGGTAACCGCTCCCCGACTCTTTGAGATTTGGAATCTTTTGAGCTTCAGGGCACCCGACTTTTTGGAAACCAGGATACTAAAACCGAGCCAAGTCTTGGCTCACAAAAATTTTTTTTCTAACTCAACGCTATAAGCGGCCAGATTTATTGAGTTATTCCATAATTTTGCGGTCAAACGAACAACCAACGCTAGCCTCCCTTTTTAGCTGCCCAGACTGGTCAATTTTAATCGTGCCCAATTTGTGAATTTCTCATAAGTTAAACCTATCAGGTTGAAACGTCTCTCTTCCTCATTTTTGGCCACCCTCTGATCCAGGTCTTTGCAGATTTCAATCCATTCCTCCTAAAAAGAGTGTATTATGTCCCTGCAATCCGCTGCAGAATTTTGCGCGCAGAACGCAACAGGACAATCACTCTTTCCATACCTCCAATCCCCCGTTCCGTGTCTATGTATCGCGACGTACAAAACGTATAAATGCAAATAGATTGCATTTTTTGCCTGTGGGAATCGCGCCCGACAAGACTTCAGAACCCGCACCGCGGTTTGGAGTATCCATTGTACGCGGCGATCCTCTGTACACAACACCGCCCAAGGGAGGGGAAAGCAGATTCCGACATGATAATCCTTGGGTCGGAAGAGAAGAAAGAGGGAACGAAGAGAGACAGCTCTGCTCCCCCTTCTGAGACCTTATTTGTACAGTCAGCACCTATCGACAGCCCACCCAAGGTGGTGGTAGGGGAACTGTCAAGCTGTGGACAGGTAGCCGGCGCGTGGTTGCCGCGGGGGGAAATAAAGGGTTCTGGGCTTCCGGTTGGAGGGAATAAAAGGAGAGGGTAGTAAAAGGTCAGACTCTTCTTTCCCCTCTAGCTCTCTCGCTCTATATCTATCTCTCTCACTCTCCTCCTCTCTCTCTCGCTCTCTTTCCCGCTCTTTCTCTATCCGCTCTACCTTTCTTGTTCTCTCGCATCCTCTGGCTCTCCCTCCTCTCTCGTTCTCCCTCTCTCGCTGTTGTCTGTAAAGGGCACAGTTAAAGGGAGCGCGACAGTAAGTGGTACGATTTTATTTATCTTTTGGGTGGGCGGGGCGGGTTTTGGGGAAGGGACGCCTTAAAAAAGGAAGGACGGGGGGAAGGTGGGGGAAAAATGGAGGGGGAAGAAAAGGGGGGGAAGAAGGAAAGAAAAGGGGAAGGAAAAACAAATGTAAACTTAATCGTCGATACCCAATTGGCTCCAGAGGTCGAGTAACACGCTTTTTTAAAATATTGCGCAAGCGAAAAGTAAAAAAACGACGTCTGAAATTACGTATACTTCTGTATTCTAGGGTCTACGGCTCCACGCTTCCCTGCTTCCGAGAAAAAGTGGTCGAATGTGGTGATGATCGGCAGAGGAGGGTGTTGAATGAGGTGAATTTTCTGGGCGTCAACGTCGTCGGATCGGTGTCTTCGGAATTTACCAAATTTTATCCATGTTTAGGTCGGCAAAATGCTAATGTTCCTCTGCTCTCCATTTAGTTTGTATCGGCAAAGGTGTCAGAACCCCCTTAAATTAACATCGCCTCGAATTTAGGCAACTAATAGAGCACCAGGAATGCGTGCGTAACGTGCTGGCATTGCCCGCAACAACTGGATGTGACCTTCAGGGCACGGTGTTCCAGAATCAGATGACGTCGTGCAGGTACCCTCATTTCCAGTATTTTTAAACTCCAAAATTTAGAAAAGAATGCCAGCACCAGCCTACAAACTTTATTTGTCTGATGAAAACGTGGATATCAGAACAGAACATCTGCACGATGACGGACATTGAGAAGAAGTGCGGGGAGGAGGCCGCTGTTTTCTATAAGGTGGGTAAATCAGTGTGTGATCGCTCGCTCTCTCACTCTCTCTCTCTCTTTCTCTTTCACTCTCTCTTTCTCTCTCGCTTTCTCTCTCTCTTTCTCTTTCACTTTCTCTTTCTCTCTCGCTTTCTCTCTCTCGATTTCTCTCTCCATCTCGCTCTCTCTCTCTCTCTTTCTCTCTCTCTAGCTTTCTCTCTCTCTTTCTCTCTCTCTCCTGGCCTCAAAATTAAGCAGACAATTTTTTTCAGGACCTACAAACCACCGTATTCGATCCGGCATTTCCGGTCCTCTGCGAGACCGGCGAAGACTTCATCACTACCGTAACCACCACCACGCCAAAGCCTACTACCACTATTTACGTTCGGCCGACGAAGAAACCGTTTATTATCAAGAACAAAATTATTAAGGTAATTTTTCCGAACTTACAGGCTAGCAAAGATCTTTGTGGATTCCCTATACCAGCAAAATTTCAGAAGCCACAGCTCACCAACCCGTTCAACACCTCTAACATTGTGTTCGGTGTTGTTCCATCTGCCCAGAGCATCAATCGACCGGCCTTTAATGTTCCTTTAACTACCACAATACGTCCGGAACTGATGGATTCTACGCCCTACGTGGAGCAACAAACAACAGCCCAGCGGCAATCGAATTATATTCCCGAGATGGCGGCCGCGAATCCGGATGTCGAGGATAACGGTAAGATTTTCAATTATGATGCCAGATAATGTAGCTTTTGGAAATCTTAATTTAACAACTTACATTTATATTGAAGCCTTCCTGTTAAATCCCAATACTTTAATGTTCCGTTTAGTTGATCCAAGCCTGCTCGTCTGGCAGAAGCCGCAGGTCTATCGGAAGCCACAATCCAAGGAATTTGTGGTTGAGGGTGAAGGTGAAGGTAAGTAAAAAAGATCGAGATAGTGCTAGAGACTTGTAAGAGATTTGTGATTTTAATGGTTCTCAGTGGTTCATTACGTCAATTATGACATGCTGAAACCGGGGTTTAGGCACGATGAGAGGTATCAAACAGTTTAATTTCAGCCTCCACTCCTCGGTCGATCAAGGTGATTACGCTGCTAAAGTCGTGGCTGCCGGAAAGGTTACCAGGTAATTTAAAGATTTTGCACTTTAAAAACGTTTTGAATCCATAAAAATTTGTTAGTAAAAAATATCTAGCTTAGAATCACATCGAAAAAACCTGTACTCGTGCTATTGTATAGTTTTTGGCATTTGGGCTTGTCCGAAATTCGCCACTACGATTGCGCAAAGATTGGTGAGTGTTGCGTTTCGCTACGGCCTAAAAAAATCCGTAGACAGAGATCCCCATAGACATCACTTGCCCTCACCTTTAACCCCTACGCACCACGCACGCGTTGCGTTTCGCGGGCAGCTCATTAAATCCGGAGTCCATAGTAAAAAACCCAGAGAACTTCCTTGTCAGCCCCTTTAATTGGTGTATTGACGATTTTACTTGAATAATACCTTAAAAGATCCTTTGTCACCGCCAATTGACAATTAGCCTTTTTAGGCTTCGAGTCTCTCTTCCAATTCCCCGGTTCCGCTCCAAAAAGCCAAGAAGATTCGCCTCCAACCACCACTTTCACACCCATCCCCCTGCCCACCGTCGCCTACCGTAATACCGAAAAGAGTTGGTTTGATTTGATAAATTTTTGAAGGAAATGCGGTGCAATAACATTAAATTTTGTTAGGATCAAAGTTTTAAAACTCTGTTTTCCTCTTCTCCTATTCTACTGTCCACTTTCAGAACCTGCGCCTCGTCGCTGGCGACCGTGGTACATGTCGGGAGGCGAGAACTTTAACTGAATATTTTGTATGCTTTGTGTTTTTTGCGTTTCATTACTATGAACGGACAGCTCAACTGTGATCTCCGCGTGTATACATGTGCACACCTCAATTTTTGCTCATTGTTTTTGCATAATTTATGCTGTGCTTCTTTTTGCTCCTCTGATTGTCTTTCAATTTTCTTACCTTATTTATGCGTATTTTCCATAAATTATTGTTTTTGGGGTGGCGGTCTGCAAGCTAAAGGGGTTAGGAAAGCCAGACTCGACCGATCCCACCGACTGGGGGGAGGGGGTTTGGTACTACGTGCGAACGCCTCCAAATGACAATATGGCGTAACGCCTAAGCTAAGCATAATAAGCTTCAGCCTAAATCTATGCCTAAGCCTCAGCTAAAGCCTAACCTAAGCCTAAAATTTTAAATTTTTCCCAAGTGTTTGAGTTTAAGTTGCGTACTTTCGCATTGCCTGTCCAGGCATAGTTGTCCAAAACGAGTCGACGGAAGGAGTTGGCTTTTAGCATTCGAGCCCCCTTAAAACAAATAAACAACCCAAAAAGCTCCAAATGAAACGTGAAAGTGTGCGCCCTTTCTAGGCGGAAATGCTATGCTAGACAGCCAGTCGAAAACCGAGTAATTACAGGTCAGCTAAAAGCCAAACCAAGCGTTTCGTTACTGATGTCATATTATCGATTGGTATAACTAACTAACAGCTTCTAACCCAAAAATCTGACCTAAAAAGATGCGGATAACAATTTTAGGTGTTTCCGGTGCGACACTACGGATGAATACGGGTGAAGTACTCAACAAGCCATTTAAGGAATTTGCCGGGTTCCATTCTGTGTTCCCCGCCATTTACAGCTGTTATTTAAAAGCAGATGTCTACCAAATGCATTTCTAGGTTTCTCATTGGCCGGTTAAAGCCGAGTTATGGAAGCGTAAAGAGTACTGAAACGTAATGGTTATGTGTTTTCCCATGGATTTCTATTTTTTTTATGAAGATCCAGGATTTCATCGTAACATTCTCCCCATTCAGCTTTCCCCACCCGATAGTGTGGGTGTTCTCGGTTCCAAAGGCTGTTGCAAGAAGCCTCGAGCCTATAGGTGTCGATACCGGATGTCGGCCATTCTGAGCATTCCGATGAAAGAGAATAGGGCGGACACCAACACGGCCAATACACAAATACCCACACACACCTCCACACGAACCCGGAACTTCTTCGCGCTGTTCGTTTTAAATGAATGTTTTTAATAGCCGCAGAATACTACGCATGAAGTATTACAACGAACTATTTACCTAAAAAAGCTCCAAAACAAAGCAAAATCTATTAATTCCGAAGATCTAAATTTTTGGAAACGTAAAATCTTAATTTTCTTGATCATTTTAGGATTAGATTTGTTCGCCAATATCAGGGGAGATTATTTTTAAAATTTATATCTTGAAGCGTCAGGAAAAATATTATCTAAATTAAAAACTACAGTTTTGTATGCCCAGATTTTTGAGATATTTCACACTTAAGGTGCGCTGTGTGCGTGATTTTTATCGATTCCTTTTGGTAACTCAGTTCCGTGATATAAAAATTTAATTGTTTAACGATACTATGAACTTCCAAAATCCTGAATTTTAAATGTGCATTGCTCATCTGACCTCTCAAACCTGGAACCAAGGCTGCTCTGCTTCCTCTGCTCCTTCCAGAGCTTCCGCCATTTCCAAATCCGCCAACTCTGGGCTTGGGTGCAAAAAAATTGAGAAATGCGCACCCAGCCATAGCGTTCCGGGGGGATCGAGGAAGGAAGCCAGCCACTGGCGGTTATTTTTGCATTTCCTGAATTTTGTGAATTGGCTGTGGTGAGGCGCAAGGTGACGACGGTGTGAGCAATTTTAGAAATGTTACACGGCCCAAGCAAGCCGATAGGTAGCCTTTGGAGCAAAGGCTGAATTTACCTAGCGTAATCGATTTAACCCATCTTGCAAGGCGCTATATTTCCTGCAAATTCAATCTTGTTCAGCTCGACTTTTGTTAAACAATCTTATTTTTGGAGCAGTTTTGTCTTTTTTGAGCCTTTTACTATGAGCGAAATCTGTATAGTCTTCAAATTTCGGGATCTTGAAGAAACCTTGCAAAATTTCGGATCTCACTTTTGGTGACATTTTTTTGGCTTTCTGCGGCTGCTCTTCTGGGTTTTTAGGAGCTGCTCTGCATTTTTGAGCGGCTTTTGGTTATTGGGTTATCTTGGGATGGACGGCGGCCTTTGGGAGATCATTTTACATCTACCAACGGCCATACTGGAGTTGGCCCGCTTCCAGGGGAAAATCACGTTTTTAGGGCGTTCTATTTAGGTTTATGCTGTTTTTAAGAAAACTTGGAATGGGCTACAGAGAGCCAGAGAGAGAGAGAGAGAGAGAGAGCGGGTGGTAGAGAGAGAGACAGAAAGCTAGAGCTTTTTATTCCTATAATCTTTGTAAAGCTATATTTCGAAATTTGCTGCTTTCAGAATTTAGAAAAAACTTTATTAATTTTCATCAACAACAAGCTCTTTTTCGGTTACAAAAAACAGCACTTGACGTCTAACCATTGAGCTTTTAATAATTTATTCCGCAGCAAACTAGGTAACGACTAGCCAATAAATTAGCTTGATCTACCCTCGTCAACTTGCGTAGCACCAACTTCTTTTTTTTCTCTGACTGGCTAGTGTTTATGGAATATTATTTTGTGCCCACCTCTTTTGAAGAGGCGCTTGCGAGGGAATCGCCTATACAAATGAGGCCAATTTATACGCTTCGACTTGGACGGGGGCACACACATTTGCTATAAGGGGGAGGGAGACGGCCAGACGAACAAGTCAGCAAAAAATTGGCCATCGAACGTTTATCGTAGTTGTCATTGGATAGTGTCGTATCGTTACCGTATTTCCTGCACATATTGCTTGCCGTAGTTGATATACTTGTTATTGACTGTAGTTATAATGAACTTACAACTTAATGAATTACTTTTAGCTTGTTTTAGCTTTATTCAATCTAACTTACTTCTTTCTTTTGAAAGTTGGAAAAATTTGATCGTAGATTTGGACCAAAGCCCAAAACGTAAAGCGCACAACCGAACGCCCCCTTAAAAACTGCCGGCGCCACACGCGAAATGTCGCATTTCAAAAGTTTTTAGAGCTGCCCTCACTATGGTTTGCCGCAATGCAATGCGGTCGCGTTGCGTATCGAAAGAATATTTTGGAACGCTCGCCAGAGGCCTCAATCAGCGCCGTGCTCGGCGCGTACGCGTGCGGATGCGTCGCGTCCTGCTCGAAAACGAGGGAAATGCGCCGAGTTTCATATCAAAGTTCGACACGCAACACACCCGAACGCGTAGACTCACGCGTTTCGGTAAACATTCGTCATTCGAAAATCCACACAAGTATTCTTCCGTTTCGCAACTCATCCGTTCCCTAAAATGTGTATCCAGTTGTTTTCTGATCGTTCCAAATGTGCCCATGTGCTCTTCTTTGCTCATGAAGCCCCTGGTGGCCCTTTGGTTGGGCTAACTTTTTTGGAGGGGGGACGCCGCAAAATCCTGGCAGTTTCATATCAAAAACGGGTGCCCTTTTGGGGCGAGTGGCGGACCCGTCACAGAATCGGATTTGCACGGATATCACAGCTCATTCTATGGATTCCTTTTGGCACAATTCGAGCAAGGGAAGGACATGTTCCATTTTTGGAAGGCATAAGGAGGGGAGATTCGAAAGTTCTTCCGAAAAGTTCAAGGAAACGGCCTTTACAAATCGTGATTTGATTCGGGCATTTTACTACGAATTCTGGGCAATAGAATTTGAGGTCAGCTATACCCGGAAGTTGTAAACTGCGCCTAGAGAGGTTCGTACTCGAGACGAATTCGTAAGATTTCCAGCACAAAATTTCCCTGCCCATTTAATCCGTTCTCCCGTTCGTCTTCTCTCTCGCTCTCGCGCTCTCTCTCTCTCTCTCTCTCCTCCTCTCTCTCTCTCTCTCTATCTCTCGTTCGCTCCCTTTCTCGCTGTGTCACTCGATCTATCTATCTCTCTCGCTCTTTCTCTCTCTCTCTCTCTCTCTCTCTCTCTCTCTCGCTCTCTCCTCTCTCTCTCACCCTCCTCTATCTCGCTCTCTCTCTCTCTGCCTCTATTCCTCTCTCTCTCTCTCTCTCACGGTTGCGTTCTCTTACTTGACCTTTCGGAGTTTTTCTAGTACAATAAGAGTTCCGCGCTGTTGTTATTTTCTTAGAACAACATTTCGCTCGACGCCCCCGTCACCCCGGATTCCATAAATTATGCCCAACTGCTACCCGTTTCAGAATTTTTCAAGTTATGCAAATTGGATGTGTCAGCTGAATGGGGAAGACGTGCTGGTTATCCTAATGGTGTTTCAAAAAGCCACGCCCCTCAACTTTTCAAAAATATGTTTTGCAAAAGGGTTTCCTACGGAACCTGAAATGCTGCCAACAACTTTGAATACCTTTCCCCCCAAAAATGGAGTGCGACTTAGCTTTCAATCTTAGCGAAAAATTTTGATTATTAACGATTTGAGAAGTGAATTTTCAATAAAAAGAAATTTTTGAGGGAATCATGCAAATCCATGAAAGGCTTTTGCAAAGACTTCAACTTCCCAGAAAACAACAACAGCGGGCTTTGGCAAGAAAATGGGCACTTCCAGTGTGGGATGAGATGTGGACCCCGGGGGGCTACTCAAAAAGCGGATCCCCTATATGCCGCCGCCTCCACAAATCTTCACACAAAAACTCGGGGGTTCCCTTTGAGAATCGAGGTGGTGGTGGCCACTCTATTTATCATCCTTTTTTATGAAGGTTTGTTACTTCCTCAGATGGTTGGGTCTATTTACAGAATTTTTAGGCCGAAACTAAGCCTAAGCTAAGCCTAAACTGAGCCTAAGCTAAGCCTAAGCTAAGCCTAAGCTAAGCCTAAGCTAAGTCTAAGCTGAGCCTAAGCTAAGCCTAAGCTAAGCCTAAGCTAAGCCTAAGCCTAAGCTAAGCCTAAGCTAA